CATTTAAATTTAAAATTTTATTATTTAAATATTATATCAATACATATATACTATTTAAATTTTAAATATAAAAAGTAGACAAAAAAATTTAGTTGGACAGTAGTACCATATAAAGAAATATTTGATTCAATCAATAAATATTTATAAAAAATAATAACAAATATTAATATAATATATATAGCAACATAATATATTATATTTGTTTTTTTTTGATAAAAGTAATTACTTCAACTTAATATATTATGCTATATGCTTTGTGACGAATTGTTAGTTACTTTTAATTTGCTAATTCAATCAAATTAATACGGTACTGATTTGATCTCGTCACCGTAACTACCGATGTTATTGAGACTTATTCAAAATCTTTTGATTGGTTCTCTATGCAACAAATAATCGTTTATTTTTATTATTTATTTATTTAAACGTGTTTTTAAAAAAAAAAAATTATAAAAATTAATATGTTATATATATTTTTATTATTTTTATATTATTTATATAATTTTATATATTTCATGTTAAAAAAAAAATAAAAAATTTTGCCATTACACTAAACAATCAAACACTTATTTTATTTATTTATTTTGATTTGATGAGAATTAGTTGAGTTGAGGAGGTTAACGCAACGTGTATGTGGGGGCTCCGTTCAACCTATAGCGTTTACATACAACCGCGTCCCATGTGCTCCACTTCTAATTGTATTTATTTATTAATATTATAATTCAATTTGTATCAAGGTTTAAATAATAATAATAATATTATTATTATTAGTGAAAATTTCTTTTTGTCTTTATTTTTTTGACACGCTTTTAAGTAAATTTTTTTTTTTATTAAATTTAATAATTTGCAATCTGAATGTCACCAAAAAGAAGTCGTACAAGAAGAAAACTATGTATGATTTGATAAATTTCGAAGACGTCGAAAAATTTGAACTCATATATCAATATTTGGTATATTGAAATTACATTTAATTTGTTTGCAGAATTTTGAATTTTGAGTTTGGCTTTTAGATAATAAACTTTAAATTCAAACTATTATTGATGAGATATAAATATTCATTGATTTAATATTTTTAATTTAAAATTAAATTTTAATATAATAAATAAATGTAAAATCCAACCCAAATTTTCATAAACAAACACACGAGTGTTTTTGTTTGCTGAGGAGGTCTTTGTTTGTTTATTTGCTTGTTTTTCTTTGAATTTTACCATTTGAAAATTGAGTTATCCAAAAAAATATACTCCTTCCGTCCCATTGAAAGGTTACCATTTTCATTTTCGTCTATCCCAAAACAAGGTTATTATTTTTTAATTTAGTAACTGTATTACCTCCTTCACGTAATAAATATCCTTTCAACTTATAATATATTACACAAATGTCATTACTTTTATATTACACCATACTAATAGGGGTAGTTTTGTCTTTTTTACTACAATATAATATAATACTAATATTAAAAAATCTATGTGCAAAAAGCAAACGTCACATTTCCAATGGGACGGAAAGAGTATATTTTCTTCTGGTTTAGGCTGTTGCGCTAATTTGACCAAATTAAGAAATATCTATAAAAAAGTATATATATATTTATAACAAAAATAACAAATATTTATATAGAACATATCATATATTTGAATAGCATATTACTATAACAAAATATGTTTTGATTTTAGCAAAATGTATTTTGATTTTATCACAATAATAATTTGATCCAATGAGCAAATATTTATAAAGAAAATAGAAAAATCATCATATAATATAGAACACATTATATAACACATTATCTGTCTTATGACGATTTGCTAAGTGTTTCAAGTTAATGTGCTAACTTAGTGATGTTTTATATATTGTGTAATGATTTGTTAATTCCTACATATTAGTTTGTTGATTTGGTCAAATCAGAATGGTGTTAACACCATAACCGTTATCTTTTCTTCTTTTCTATACATTTTTTTTATTATTATTATTGTTATTTACTTTTTAATAACTTGGAAATTTGCAACTGCTATCCAATGTATGTTTTGGGTAAATCCCCGGCCAAACCTAATAGCCTGCAAACTGAATCCGACAAGGTAAGACACACTAAGCAAATCATGTGAGACATCGGAGTTTGAACTATGACCTCACGGTAACAAGTGGATGCCCACACCACCCGATCATCCCTTACAAACTTGTAACATTTATTCTTAGTTTTTGGCAAAATTGTACAAAATTCAAATATTATTTTACGAAACCGCGTCAAATCTTATGTACTTTTAAAATTATAACAAAATTCCTCATGGTTTTCATGAACTCTATGCCTAACATTTTCGGTCGTCCTTACTAACGATATTTGACCCACACGCGCACAAACTGCAGATGAATTTCAAAATCTTAATTTCCAAACTTTTGAAATTATAAATATAGTCATTTATTTTATAGTTAACTTCAAGAAACATTATAAAAATTATTAGATATAGAGGTGACAAAAATAAAGCCCGAAATTCCGATTCGAATCTGCCACGAAAAAACCATACTTGGGCCACAAAAAATATGCCCGCCGTGCTTGGCCGACCCGATCTTTAAAAATTATTATTAAATATATTTATATGTAATAACTAATAAAATAATAATAATATATTTATATGTAATAACTAATAAAATAATAATAAAAATGTAGACGTAGTTTGATGGTAAAGTAGTTAAATTGTGAATTCAATTTTTACTTACACTATTTAAACAAAAATTTTAAAATAATTTAAAATTCAAAACTAGTAAAAAAGTAATTTAAAATAAAAATTAAAAATGAAACGGATTTGCCACCCCTAATTAAAAGTAGGAAAAACATTTATTTATGAGTATATTTAGCTAAATATAAGAAAACTCATTGGCGCCTTATTTTTTTTTATTGATCGTTTAATTCATCTTTTACTAATTTTGTAATCATAATATTTTTTAATATTTATATATTACTTTTTATTCAATATTAATTTACTATAATTATTATTCTATTTGTTATTTAATTGTGTTAATTTGATTGGATATGAATTTTTTGAAAATAATAAATAAAAATAAAAATTTTATTTTATATAGTAAAGAAAAAAATAAATATTCCTTTTTTTATATAAAAAATAAAATAAAATTAAATATAACTAAAAAAAAGTACAAATAAATTTGTATGATATATTTAGTAGGTATCATTCTCATTACATTTTTCTATTCTCATAAATACCTCCAACTATTATTATTATTTACTTTTTCTTACATTTAAATAATATGTATATATATATATATATTTACTTCTCTGTACGACTTCAATGGACATAATTTTTCCAAATGAAAGTATAATATTTTTTTTTTAAAAAAAAATATAACATTGAATATAATTAAAATACAAAATTTAAATTAAATATTCTCAATTCAAACCTAAAGAAACTCTATATAATTTTAAGTGTTTTTGTAAGGCAAGCCATGAAGAATTGTGAAAATATTTTAGAAGATGATGTATTTTGTGTTTTTATTTATTTTTACATTTTTTTGTTTATCTTTTTTATTATGTGTATATACTATATTTTTTATAATATTTTTGAAAATTTTATACTATATCTTTTTCATCTTAATTATTTCTTAAATTTTGTTTAAGAGGGACTCTCTTGTATTGTTATATTTTTATTATGTTTTTTTATAAATAAAATATTTATATACATTTAAAAAAATATTAGTATTATATTGGAACGTAGTATAAATAAAAGTGAAAAGACTAAACTAACCTTATTATTATTATATGATATAAAAGTAACGATATTTATGTAATATATTGTAAATTGAAAGGTATTTATAAGGTTAGGTAGATGTAGAAAATGAATACTTTGTTATTAAATAGACCAAAATAGAAAAAATTGATAGATTGTTAAAGGACGAATGAAGTATATTGTATAATAACTCAACTTACAATTGAATAACATTTATTATTCAATATTGCAAATTACAACAATATAAAAAGTCATAAAAGTTTTATATGACAAACAAAGCAAAAGACTTTGAAGTTTAAATTCATAACCTTTATAGTTTTATATGACAAATAAGGCAAAAGACTTTGAGGCTTAAACTCATAACCTTTATATATTGTGTAAAGTATAATCAAAAGATTTCAATGTATTTGTTTTAATATTGAAAATTATAAAATTTGAAATAAATGTATAATATCCATTTGTATTTTATTAAAATGTATAAAATATTTTGTATATTATTCATTATATAATTTTTTATATTAAATTAAAATATATACAAAATCATAAAAATATAATAGATACTTTCAAACACTATACAATTTACAACCATGGCCACCTCAATCAACTTGCGACGTGTCTGCCCCTAGAGATCAAAAAGATAAGCCCACGTTTGGTCTCACTTTATTGAAACTATAATATATACATATATATATAATGAAATTAAATCTGAATTTTATGTAGTAATAGATTAATAGGAAGGACAAAAATTAGGGCATTGATAAATCATAATCTGGACCCAAAGTACGGATCATTTTACACACGGCGGGCCATGCTTCCAATGATTCCCATTTTTTTTTATATAAAAAAAAAATATTATTAATTTTTTTACACTTGCATATGTACTACGGATCTATTAACATTACAAATACTTTTATATTCACATTATAACAAATATCATTACTACAGCAATATTTTTATTTTATTTCTACTACGTATAAATATGTATAAAAAGTAAATGAATATTTACTTTTATTTTTAGTACTTTTGATGTAATTTCTACTTATAGTCGTTGTGTTACTAATCTGTTGCTATTGTTCTGAGTTTTATTTTTCATATTTTTTTTCTTCAAAGAAATTAATAAAAAAAATTATGAAAAACAATGTATTTTCTTATTTTTAAAAATAGAATTCAATAATAAATCTTGAAAAAATTGATAAAAAGAAACACACATTCATTTACGCGTCTTCCCAAATCACATATGTAGACCGCGTAGCAGCCGTAGGCGGGGCGCGGCGCAGTACCTGTATGGACCCGGTGTTGTGCACCGGGTGCACCGTCCATCTTTATCATTTGAGTATTTGTTTATTACACACTCGACACTGCACACACAGATAGATAGGGGCGTTTGAACGACATCACAGACCATACCACAACAGCCGCTCGGCCGGACTGAATTCCGAACGTCTCCGCCATGCGCCGCCTGCTGCCCAAGCCCAGGCCACTTCTCACCGCTGCCTTTCTAGTGATTCTCTGCGGCCTCGCCTATGGCAACTTCACTACCGCTCAATCAGATCTTATCTCCGACGGTCTTCACGCCTCCAAGCTTCCGGACTTCCTGCGCCTCCGCCTACCGGAGGAGACCTGTGAGGAGTCGTATGGATTTTTGCCGTGCACCACCACAGCCCTCGGAAACCTATTCCTGATTATTGTCTACGGTTACCTGATGTTTATGGCGGCCACGTATCTCTCCACCGGGAGTGAGCTTCTGCTCGAGATCCTTGGCCCTGGGATCGTCGGCGGCCTTTTTCTTCCCATGCTCGGAGCGCTTCCTGATGCTATGCTCATTCTCGGTAACCGTTACTTCACGCTTTTTAAAACGAACAAAAAAAAAAAAGGAAAATATTCTTAGTATCACTGTTCTTAGTTTGTAAATCGAACGATGCTGATGGCAGATGCGAAATTGGCCCTATAACTTTTAGTTTCAGCCCTACCATTTTTGGGTAAATCGACAAGTTGAAATTGGCTTTCTACTGCGTTTATTCAAACTTTCAACCTCATGATCTATCTATATATATATATATATATATTTTATTTTTTTTCCTTTTTAAAGAAAAAATTCTGTTGAAACTTATTTAGATCTGAATGATTTCCAATGACGTGATGGACATGATTTCAATCTCGTTTTGAATTTAACAGTTTGGATTTAAGTTAGCGTAATAGACAAATGGTCAATCTCTGCTTGTGAGATAAAGAATTTCAGTCAATATAGCGTTTTTGGCAAACCTGAGAAGAAGATCGGTACTTAGACGGGATATAGTAGCTGAATTTTGTGGTGCCTTTGTTCCTTTTAATATATATAGTTATATTCATATTTAGAGAAGGTCGATAGATCTCATCTTGTGGGTTGTTTTACATAGTACCCATCTCTGTAAATAATTAGATGATCAGCTGTAAATATTTTTGAAAAAATTATCTGAATAGTTACAGTGAAAGCTTGTAATATTGGAATTGATGTGGCATTTTGGAAATAATTTTTGATGTGTTTTGTCAATCATATAATGGTTTTATTTCCATCTAAAGTTGTACATATATATCACTTAATTGTGGTGAATGATTGATCATCAAATTCGATTTGTATTATGCCTTTGTCTATTGCTCAAATGGGTGATATTGTTTACAGTCTCCGGGTTGTCTGGAAGCAAAGAGACTGCTCAAAGCCAGGTGTCAGTTGGAATGGGACTTTTGGCTGGGTCAACAGTCATGCTTCTTACTGTAATTTGGGGTACCTGCATTGTTGTTGGCAAGTGTGATCTAGAAAATGGTGTTGCTGTAGACTCTAAAGACACAAAACGCTTTGACTTAACTGGTTGGTCTCTATCTTTTGCTTCTACATTCCTTTCTTATCAAGTTTATAACATGCTTGTCAATGTTAACTTAATGCTTACTTATTACCAGTTGTATCTGTCTATCTGATGTACTTTCTATGGCTTTAACACATTTAAGGTGTATATATATGAATATATATATGATGCCGCGTGCATGTGCTATCAATATTTGATTGATTCTCAAGATTCGTGCTACTTTGGATGCTAAGTTGCATCAAGGTGTGATTTATTTGGGTGGATCGCACTCTTTTTAGTGAAAGCATGAGCGATTTATCAGTAATGGTTTCATTTTAAGTAAAATCACCATTCATCACCTTATTCTCTTGGACGGTAGTAAACATGACGGGGGTTTGCGGCTGCATGAATATCGCAGCATTTTCTTCATCACTTTTTGATGTATTTTTACAAAGAAGAATACGTTAAACAATATAATTATCATGTGGCAATATGACAACTCCACTATGAATTTATAATTGATTTGTGTACATATGGCATACTTGATGTATATTCAGAATGTGTAGTGACTTGTTTTGTTCCTGCAAAATTTGTATGACACTAGAAGTTGTTGGGCTTGTGTGTTTCACATGTTCCTTGTCATTTTCCTTTGCAGATTGCGTTTGCCTCTCTCCCAATTTCTATTTACACTCTGCAAAATTCAGCTTATTGTAATCTCATGAAATTTCTGTTCCTGTGCAGGCTCCGGTGTTACTACAGATATATGGACAAGCTATGCAGGCATCATTATGGCTATATCTGTGATTCCCTTCGTAATAGTCCAGCTACCACAAATTCTGAATATAGAATCAGGACGGCACTTGACTGTTTTGATTAGTCTTATAGTTTCTGCTTCACTTCTAATCACCTATTGCCTTTACCAGGTATTTTCCTATTTCATATTTCTACCTGTTAAATTATATATGACAAATTTGACTGTTGCTTGTTACCGAGGTATCCTACGGGCAGGGTTTGATTGAGTGATAACAAGTTTGGGTGGTTTTGTTGTCATATTTAATTAGATGTATTATTGTTTCCATAAGATTAACAAGTGTCCCTCATTAGAAAGTTATTTTTAAATCCATATGATGAACTTATTGTGATTCACTTGTCGTTTCGTTCGGATGAGTTACTCGCCAGTAGCTCAAGGGACAACAAGTATACCTCTTTGATCCTTTAGAAAGTTGATTTGCCTCATCCCTCAATGAATTGACTTCAATCATTCCTTTTGAAGTTTTTGTCCATAGTCAGACACAGGTGACATCCAACTGTCTTCGTTTCAATTGAGGCTTCTCCTACATGTCACTTTTTAAGCTTTCTTCTCAAGATTAGTTTATCATTTCTTGGTGAAAACAAGAATTCAATTGCTGTGCACATATAAATATCCTATTTTTGGGGATTGCCTTGATTATTCTAGGAATCCAAATGACCTCTCTGTATCCTAATTTTTTTGCATCAACTTTACATTCATCATCACTATAAGATTGTGGTATAGTATCATAGTGTTTTATTGTTTGTTCCTGAACTCTCCTAATTAGAAGCATTATTTTATTCTTGTTTTGTCTGAGTTCGGTTTTCTTTATCGGTTATGAGACTCCCAATTTGATTCAGAAAAGTTTTATAAGCGCATTTCATTTATGACATGTCATTGAAAATCAACGGAAGCTATTCTCATTCGAAATGGTATGGAGAGAACCCTTATTGATCAACGACATCTAGGAATGAAATAGGAGGATTGAATTGAATGATTGAGCCAAAGTGCTATTCACTTGTCTAAGAATAAGAAGTCTCATAACATGATAAAATACAGAGCCACCAAATATCTATTTTTTCTAAGCACCATCAAACCAGAGAAAATTTCATTGGTTAAGGTTCATGTAGATAAAAATCCTGTTGATATGCTGACTGAATCACTGCCAATCGCCAAATTTGAGTACTGCTTGAACTTGGTTAATCTGTTGAATTTGAGAGCTTCTAGCGGGCTGGAGCAAGGTGATTTTGCGTTGAGGTGAGATATAGACTTCTCACCTAGTAGACAGAGGGAGAGAGAGAGAGAGGATGTTATTAATTCTGGTGATTGTCGATTGTTCCAAGTGTTGGACTGCTTGGTGAACACAAGGATCTATGTCAAGGATGATGTCATTTGAGTGCAATTGAAATAGCTTAATCTCTGTTATTTATGTTAAAATTTTCTCTCGGTGAAGAATTTAGATCCTGCTCTCCTGCAGCATATCTCATTTTGGGATCTCACGTAAAATTTTGTGTGTCCATGTGGTTTCTAAGTTAATTTTTGCGCCAAATTATACTTTATCCAAGTAAGATTACTGCTAATTATTTTGGGATTTTATTGTTGTTCTGGAACTTGTCTAATCAAATTTGTTTTCTGATTCTTGTTCCACACTTGTTCAATCTCAGTTTTCTTTCTTGGTTATGAAATTTTCCCAACACTACCTGCTGAGGGACGGGAATAATTAAATGTTGCTACAGATTGCAGGCTTTTTTGGGACTAACTAGCGGCATACTTAATTATGCTTTAAATGTAGACAATCTCAGCATGTTTCTGAACGTCCGCTGCAGATATTCCAGCCATGGATTCAAAGGAGACGACTTGCTTTTGCCAGGCATAAGCTTGTCATATCCGGAATCTTGAAGCATTTCAACAAGAGTGCCCTGGGGCGGCTTTCGACAGACGACGGAAGACCAAATGTAGAAGTCATAGAAAAGTAGTGTTACTTTCAACCTCTCTGTTTACTTCTGTGCTTGTAAAGTGTTCTAATCGGTATTTATTGTTTTGTTCAATATGGCAGGCTATTTCGAACAATTGATGAGAACGATGATGGATATCTTTCGCACGCAGAATTGAAGGCATTGATTGTCGGAATCCAGTTCAATGAGATTTCATTGGATCACAACGATGCTGTCGATAAAGTGATGAAGGAGTTCGACACCTCTTTTGATTCCAAAGTTGAACTGGATGAATTCATCGCAGGAATTGGCAGATGGCTTGCGGAGGCAAGGGGCGCCAAAGCTTCTATCGATGAATATCACCAGGTAAAGAAAATCTCATATTAATCGAGAATTTCTAAAGCATGTTACAATACATTTCAATTCATCATACCATGATTCTTTCATTTTTTTTTTTCAGCAAACAAAGATAGAACATGATCGTCTGGGCGTGGGGGAACACAGCGACGAAATGGTTGAGGGCGTCGAGAATCCTGGTTGGACTACAATTAAAGCTGTACTCTTATTGCTTCTTGGAACATGCATTGCAGCTGCTTTTGCAGATCCTCTTGTCGACGTTGTCACAAATTTCTCTAACGCCACCAGCATACCGACATTTTTCATATCATTTGTGGCGCTGCCGTTAGCCACCAACTCTAGCGAGGCTGTGTCTGCCATTATTTTCGCCACCAGGAAAAAATTAAGATCAGCATCATTGACATTTTCGGAGGTATGCTTTCTCATACATTTTAACTCATAAATCATAATATAGTCGAGCATGTTATATACCAAAGGTCATTTTTATTTTTTGTTTCAGTTGTACGGCGCAGTTACTATGAACAATGTCCTGTGTCTATCGGTTTTCTTGGCGCTTGTTTACGCAAGAGGGCTGATTTGGGACTTCTCGTCCGAAGTTTTGGTTATTCTGATAGTGTGCATTGTTATGGGAGTGTTTGCCAGTGTTCGCACGACTTTCCCACTCTGGACCTGTTTCATCGCGTTCCTCCTTTATCCGTTGTCCCTCGCGCTTGTGTACATTCTTGATTTTGTCTTCGGCTGGTCGTGAGCGCGCCCGTTAATATGGTTCGCGAGCGGTTGTGCTCCCGGGTGTTTTTGTACTTTGAGGAAGATCCATGCCAGCCGTGCCATCTTTACCTTACCTGCTTATGTATGTATTTATGTATACTTATACAGTTTGTGTTGCTTGTTTTGGGGATTTTCTGCATTTCTTGCTGTGCAGACACTTCTTGATTATTGGATATTTTGAAATTTGGAGACTTGTGACTATTTAAGTGTTGGAATTTGGTGAATGATAATTCACTATAGGAATCAGAGGTGTTCGTATTTATAGTTCACTTGATGAGGTTTTTGGTTCTTTTAAACTAACTAAATAAACATATTTTATAAAGTTTCACTCATGATGAGGTTTTTGGTTCTTTTTGGCCATGTATTGACTTGGATTACATAACAGATTCCATCCACAAAAAAACATGTCTAAGGATTCCATTCCAAAATATATTGCAAAAGAATTAGATCAAAGACATGAAAGATGTGCGACACACTTTCATCAACCAGAATGGCAACAAAATAAATCAGTTATGCCAAAAAAGGAAGAACAAGACAATGTCGACGAACAAATTTTCATCGGCGAAAAGGAGGTTAAGAGATTCAATTAACAACTAGCAAGACGATACAGCCATTAGATACATTCGTCGCTACCTAAAAGTAAAATACTAAGCTCAGGTTGTTCGCTATAGTCGCAAAGTTAATCCAATTATCTTAGGAAACTTAAAAGTATTTGAAATGATGCAAATACTTTTTCGAGCTTCAAATTACTTAGGGAGCTTCATCAAGGTATTTTCGCAGTAACTTGCTTTTTCGAGCTTCAAATTACTTAGGGAGCTTCATCAAGGTGTTTTCGCAGTAACTAAATCACTAGAAATTACGGTCCAACAAAGAAAGGTTATATCTCAATCACAGGATCATGACTTCCAAGAAAAATGCAAACTTCTTGATTCCAAAAAATAATTTGAAAACTTAGCATGCTCGAAATATGTGGAAGAATAGCACATAACAATGAATGCCTACGAGCTCTTCATCCGAGTACAAACTAACTCAGTATAACCAGGCAGAGAGACGAGACAGCAGATTCGCAAAACATAATTATATTATACCTTGAGACAGGAAGAGGAAAAGGTTTACCTAAAACAACTTCCTTTTCCGAATCTTGAAACTGGAAGACCGTATGACATCATCATCCGCCAGCAGTGTCTCCCCAAGAATCGAAATGGACTCGGGCTTGGTGAAATAGGTGAAGAGAAGGTAGATACCATCCAAGTATGTATTCGTTTCTCCAGCTTTGTTTTTCTTCTTGATGCTGTAGGCTAGAGGGATTACGCCTCTGTTGAACACCTCCACATACATCCCGCCCCCAGCAACCAGCAACTGCATACATGATTTCGACACAATAGTTGAGATGAAATACATCAATTCTATCTTAAATGGAACTCCTTTTTTCATTTTTTTTTTTGGGTAGCAAAGGAAATGATGTTAGGGAGGAAATAGCCGAGGCATCTATTATTGTTCTACGTCTACTATATCAAGAGCCGTGTTAGGGAGTTATGGAACACAGAGTTAGAGAATCAAACGAATAAACTACATAATCAAATAGATCGTGTATAGAAACACTATCTGAAAGTTACAACTTAGTGTTTTCGGGGTTGACATGAATTCAACTCTGGGATAATCCAACGATGCACTCAAGAATTCTGATCACATGTTGAGTCTAAGACCGATGTCGAATTTTGTTACTCATTCTGTAGACGACCGAAGCTTCAAAATTTTAAAAACAGGATGGTGGCTATCGGGGATAAAGGAGCAACCATTGGTGAATGATTTTAGATTCGAAATGAATACACATTTTCATTCAAAATGTATCATTAGAAACCAGCGGAATGTGCATTACATTGGAGTTTGATGTCATTTCGGCTTATACAAACTTGCACTCCACACCATCTTTTGTATTTAGCTCGACAAAATATCCCATTAGTCTCGAATATATCCCGATCATACTAAAATTAACAGCAAACTGTTCATTGCTCAAAGTGGAGTAACTTTTTCAATACGTATGGTAAATTATATCTTCCTAAGAAATTGAAGATCAACCAAATCACTTCCAAAGAGTCCATGAAGCTCATAATTTCATTCAATCATTTATTCAGAAGATTGCACGTTTAGCAAATATAGTGACAAAAACATAAAACAAACAGATAAATAAGGTTAAGATTTAAGGATCAGCAGTGGGAAAATTTGCATTTCATGCGAACATTTGCAGAGGTGAACTCGGGATTGAGAGTTTCAAGTTGAACAATTTTACGGATTAAATCATCCAAATAATTGAATTGAAGTATCGCCATAAGGAAATTGAAAGCAGCATTGATCGAATTCGAACGCAAAAATCCAACAATCAGTGAAACGACAAGCTCAGTTAAGAGAAGGAAAAGAGGGGAAACAAATTGACCTCTTCGTACTTCTGCGTGAAAGCGAGGCGCTCATCCTCGGACATGTCAGGCCTCAAAACAACCATCGTCTCGTACTTGCGGAGGCCTGGCGGGCACTGCGGCTCCTCCTTATCCTCGGCGTCTGGAAAGCCAGCTCCAGGTATTGTCGGCGTCGGAGGGGAATCGCTTCCTTCCAAGTCTCTTTCGAAGAACGTTAGATCGAACTCCGATTTCACGGCGGATGCTGTTCCAAGGGGATTGGAAATTCCTCGTCTTCTGGTGAACGGGATTTGAATAGGTTTGCTGAATTTGAAAGGCGAGAGAAGAGGTAAGGAAGAAGAGTGAGCGCCGGGCAGAGATGGTTTACAAAGTAGGAGAGCAGAGGAAGAGAAGGAAACGGGCGCCATTGGTGATGGGCTTGGGTACCGCTGTGGCTTATTGTTAGAAGAAGATAAGGGGACGAGGAGAGAATTACGGGTTTACCCATATCCGAATCCCCGACCCGGACCCGGTTTTGGATAGGATCCGGCCTGCTTACTGGTGTATCACTGTGGCACTTTTGGACACATTTTATGAGGTGAGGTTTTTAAAAAAAAATTGAAAATAATAAGAAAATGATATATGTTGTTTTATTTTGAAAGAAAAAAAATATTACAGTATTTAGTTTATGGCGATATGATATTTTACAAAATATATAAATGAGTTAATAAAATAATTTTTTTTATAAATTGAGTACGTAGGCGGCATTGACATTTTTCAAATAAATATAATATTAAAAAATATGTAAAAATTACTTATGAATATATATTTTTTATGGACAAATAACCAAATTTGATTTCATTTGTAACGAAAGTCTTTTGACTATTTAACAAAATTTTATTGGAATGTGTTTAGCTGTTTAATACAGAAAAATAAAATTATAGAAAAATAATAATAATAAATAAAATTATAAATGAAGAAAATGAACCTATCGGGGCAACAAATGAGGCAACAAAGACGGCAGAAACAAATAGAAAAGAATATTTGAGAAATGAAACAATAAATTAATTTACTATGAAATTAAAAGAATTTAAGATAAATCATTATATATGTTTTTATTTTTTGTGTTTTGTAATTTTGAAATAGAAATAAAAAGAATAGGCACCATATATAATTGCTCAAATGATCGACAAAACTTTATGCTAGCTGGTTGGACAATGTATGTAATATCCAAAGTTTGTTAATTTTACATTTTTATATTAGATATAGAAGATTGTATTGATAATACAAAAATAATATTTTGTGTTGAATATAATGTACTTTTGTAGAATTTTAAAGTATATAGATATTATATATTTTGTTTTTTTGCCATATACTTAAATTCAAAGATAAATAAACCTCTCCAAATAAATAATAAAATAAAATAAACAAAATACCCGAGTAAGAAACAAATAACACAATGCAGGCTAAAATGATGCTAAGCATATATTAAGTTCCGCATCATGCTGAATTAATCCCATCCGATAGATCATTTTATTTTATAAGCTTGTGGATTATAATGAATGAATGCATTTTAAGTATTGTATTAAAATTATTATTATGACTAGTTCAACATCATACCAGAAACGAGATACATACACACTCATTTTATGCATGCATGCTAAACAGTAAATCCAGTATTACTTATATATGTGTGTATATATATATCCACCGACACGTGGCACCACCCTGTTATTATTGCATGCATATATATAAATCAGCAGGTGGTGGGGTAAGGGACGTTGCAGTAGGCGGCGGCGCGGCGCGCGTCGGCGGCGCTGAAGTATTGAGTGATTGTGGAGTTTGTGAGATAGCTACAGAAACAGCTCTGCTGGAGCCTCAGCTGAGTGCAGCACGAGCTCGACGGGTTATTTCCAAGCGTCACCCCATAACACGGCAACGCAAGCGCCAACGGCTCGCAGCTCTGCGACGCTGCCGGCGCCGCCACCGCCGCCACCACCACCGCCACCACCACCGCCGCCATAGCCACGCTGGAAACTCCTACCTTCTTCATCTTGTATATATTAATTATATTGATTGCTAGCTCTTAATTAATTATTACTAGTTAATTGGTGGGTGCCTTTGGGGTAGATTTCGTGGGGTATTTATAGATAGTGGTTGGCAAAAAAGTTGAACCCAACGGTCGAACCGCTGAACCGACTGAATCAAATCGAATTTTTGGTTAACCGAGCAAATTTAATTTTAATAGAAATAGGAGTACTGCATATTTGATATCTGTTCGGTTCGGTTCGATTTCAGTTTTTCATATTTTTTTCGGTTTGATTTCGGTTCGGATATTAATTTTAATTATTTTTTTATGTAATTTTTCTTAATTTCGGTTCGGTTCGAGTTATTTGTAAATATTGTAAATATTTTCGATTAATCAAAATTTTCGGTTCAGATACAATTCGCGATTTCGGATATTTGTTCGGTTCGATTATCAAATACCTGCATATTTACAAATAACCGAATCGTGTGCACCTCTATTTATATATGGGCATAATGAATTAATTTCTGATTTAATTGCAGTAATTTGATAAGTGGATGGACGGTTAAGATTGCGTTGTAGCATATGGCCTGTCATGACGATATTTGGGTGGAACAAAAATAAGAGTCCTTAAGCACATGCATTGCTAGTTTTTACTTGTATCTGAAAAAAAACACGTCTACAATGGAACAAAGAGTCCTTCTGTTGTTTTTTTCAAAAATAAACATATTAGTTTGGTGAATCCCGGAGCTTAACTCCAGGCCGATTTCATACCGTAATGTCTTGTGGCAATTAGGTTCAATCAAAATTGACTTATGACGCACTAAAAAATAACAGTCTGTAAATTTTCACATCATATAACGATGTCTTGTGGCAATTAGGTTCAACCTAATACACTCAATAATAGCTCTTTGGCCCCTTTCTTTTTGCACCCTTTACATAGAGTGAATATATACAATGACGGAATTAACATCTAAATTTCGGGGAACAAAATATTATAATTTATTTATTATTTAACTAATAAATTTAAATAAAAAATAATAACATAATTATATATAAAGTAAAAATTAATTTGGTTTTTCTCTTTTCTTTTTCTTTTTTTTTTTTAAGAAAAAACTCTATTTAGATATTTTCTGATTTGATGTTGATGCGTTTTAATTTTTAAAGATCTTATAGATTTGTAACAAATATATATATATATATATATATAAAGTAAACTCATGTTTAAAAAATCCAAAGACACATTTAAAGACAACTTAGAAAAGAAAATTGATTTCTTTTTTTTTTTTTTTTTTAACATACAATATATGTGTTATGCTTTATATAGAAAATAGATATTAAATTTAATATTTTAAATAAACATGATAATTTATAATACATTTGTTTGGAAGTTTGAGTTTTGAGAATTTTTTACCAAAAGAAAGTCTTAAAAAGAGAACAAATTTTAACAGATCATTCAATTGTATTCGATTTAGCTCTAATTTTCAAAGACCTGAGAGCATATGGAACCTTGGGCCTGTAAACAATTTGTTAGGCCCAACTACGTGGCCCAAAATTCTATTGTTGTCCAAATACAAAACCCATTTCCTAATTATATTTAGGGTGTTTTGTTTGAAAATTTTTGAGAAATTTGTACTATTTATACTCTTTTTTTTTTTTTTAAATATCAAATCATATTTTTATTTTTTATATTATTTTAAAAATTAATTTTATATTTAAAATATCTCACATTAATATTTTGGCCACGGTAACCCTCTACTCTAGAAGTTAAGAAAAATATTCATAAAAAAGAAAAATATTATGAAAATATTGCGAAGTATAATAATTTTAAAATTATATAAAATATTACAAAGAAAATTTATACTCCCTCTATCCCAAGGTGTTTTGTTGACACGAGAATTAAAAAATAATATTCCATCTGTTCCACTTGTTATGTCCACCTTTCTATTTTCGTCTGTCCACTTATTTTGTCACTTTCCTATTTTGGAAAAAATTAAACTTTAATCTTATTTTTAAAACTTTAATTTATAATTTTTAAATTTTAATTATGCTAATTAGTTATCTTTAATCTTAATCTATAATTATTTTTATTATACAATAATTATTTTTACTAATATATTTTTAATTATTTACTAATTGTACACCTCCTAAATTCTCGTGTTTACAGTAAAATGGACAAAATATTCGGAACGAAAGGAATAATAGTTAATTAAAAATAAATATAAAGTAGAATATAAAAAATATGTCTTGACGTTTACATATAATATTTTGTAGCAAGTATTTTTTATAAATAATAACAACATTTGTATATTAAAAGAGCTGAACCTAATTCTTTTTTTTTAAAATAAAATAACCAATTGTATTTCTTTTAATGAAGTTTGAAAAATTTTGATTTAGCCTTGATATTAAAATAATACTATGATAAGATACTTTGCAAGATTTTTTTTAATTTTATTTTAAAAAAAAATAAAGAGTCTAAATAGTAAAAATTTAAATTTTGGGCTAAAGAAACAGACATTTAACATATATATATATACTTTTTTCTATGCATCAAATTTTAAGTAGCGTTACATAGCATCTATTTGCATGTTGAATAAATAATAATAATGGCTTACATCAGATTTTAAGATAATAAGTTACAAAACATTGCATAAGTATCTTTAAAATTTTTAAATATTATAATACTTTAGGGAAAGAAATATATATTTTTATATTCCATATTAAATGATATGGTATTTTTATTAATATTGCAGAATTTACAACTACCAATAATAATAATAATAATAATAATAATAATAAGTATCATTTGTGTATGTTCTAAATGACAAAATAGTTTATTGTTCCCTAACTAAAAGCACAATATAATACAATACACAATATTATTACAGACAACACATTGTTTATATTAATATAATACAAATATAAAAAACAGCACGTACCTTTATATTATACTAACATGTGTTATACATAATGTATGTTGTTTGGACAAATAATATGTGCTGAGCTGGACAATCAGCATCATTTAAAATGAGCATGCTAACCATCCCCTGATAATAAACATGAATTTGTAAAACAAAGTTTAGGATGAGCCAAATACATAATGAGGACAGACAGCCAAAGTATGTAATGGAGTATTCCCAATTAATTCAGATCAGATCAGCTACAAAACGATGAAGAAGACAACCAATACAGTGAAATGCATAACAACAGAACAGTAGTATCAAATGCAATAATAAAGCTTCAATTCTTCTACAGCTTGAGATTGAGATCAATGGCGTCTTCCTTTCCCCCCACCTCGCACTTCACCGCAAACAGCTCAATAGACCCTCCCGACGACTCATCCAAATTACGATGCTTCAATTCCTCATCACATGGTGATGCCGATGGAGGAGCCAAACTCAAAAAGTCTGCATTCAGCTTCCCCGGCAAAGAATCGATTGACAGGAAGCTGCTTGAGTTCCATGGACGATCTCTGCAACAAGACCACAAAACTATCTGTATAAAATGACGACCACGATGACGATATGTAACAGGGAATTCATGAGAACTCGGGGAACCTCGGGTAGTTAATCTCAATTCCTGCTTCTCTATCGTTTGTGCTGCACGACGACGACTCGTCGGAGAATTTACCACGGCGGTGGACGTGATGCTGCTGCAGAGGAAAAGGGCAAGGCCTCTTCATGCCAATAATCTGCAAAAACAGCGCTTGATCTGTTGATCAATCGCTTAGAAATGGAAGAAACTAACCAAGGATTAATGGATACATTATAAATACCTGTCGATTATCATCTGGGTGCGTGTAGATGTTGCTGCTTTGGTTTGAAGGGGGCTCTTTCTGAGAACTCAATTTGGGCGGCAAAGGAGAAGAAATCTGTGTGAAAGAATGGAGTAATTGGTGAGATTTTTGAGGAAGAAGATGAAATTGGGGCAAAATTGGCCCCTTGTTGTCTCCTCCATTGTCGCCATTGACGAAATGCTTGCAGTTCCAGTTGCAGTTGCTGCCGATCTGAAGAGGGAAGTGAACATCCAAACAAGGATTAATGGCTATGGCTGAAGATTCCAGAGCCTCCTTCTTCCGCTGTTCTTCCAATCGGATCTTCTCAAGCTGCGCCACTCCTAATCCCCTCTGCGGCACTTTCTTCGGCTTGCCGGATTTCGACCGTCCGCCGCCGCCGCCGGAGAGGATGTGTTGCTGTTGAGCCATGGATCGTCGTCGTCGTCGTCTTCCCTGCAACTGCAAGGCATCCGAGAAATCAGGAATGGTATTTAATACGAAATAACCAGAAAAGAGTAAAAAAGGCAAGCCATCAAATCCACCTAATCTTCATTTCATTTTCTTGGATGCTGAGAATCTGAAACCCCCCAAAAATCCACGATACATAAATTGGAGTAACAGAAAATCTAATACTGTGGATTACGGAAAATTCTCGAAAGCCATGGAGTCAAGATTGCCTATTTGAAACCCTAATTTGATTTGATTTGATTTGATTCGATCGATATGTGTAAATATATATGTCTGGGCAAAATGAGGACAGGGTTTTCCTAATTTGGGTGGGTTTTACAGCTTTGAACAAGTTCATGGGAATCGGGATCCGCCATTAATCTTTTCTTCCTATGTCTCTTCAAAATTGGTTTTCAAATTTTGTTTAATTGATTGATTTGGCAATGGCGATGGACCACATAGAGGACGAGGAAGGTTGAAGATGCCATGAAAATGAATTGGTTTTTGTTTGAGAGGATGAAAAAGAAAGTTTTGACGAAAAGAAAGTGATGAAGAAGAAGAAGCAGAAGCAGAAATGCAATAAAATCGATGTAGAGAAATGTTTAGAGAAATGTGGATTTGGGCTTTCAGTTGGGGGGTGGGGCCACCGTCGTCTTAACAGAAACTCGTCTGCAGGGACGGTGGAGCCACCGCCACGTCAGCTTTTTTTTTTTGTCGGTTGGGATTCAGAGATCTTCTTGCGTATGAAAAGATATACAAGACGCATCTATTCACAAGATTGTGTCTGTGTGCGCTCCCGCGCGTGTCTCCAATCCTTCTTTCCCATTACAAATATTTTTAAATAAGTTCATATTTAAATTTAATATTTTAAATAAAAATATTATAGTTCGGTTCTAACTATCCCATTAAATTTTTATATATTAATTTTTTAAAATTAATTATTATATCAAAATATAGTATATATTAAAAAAAATTACAAGAATATTTTATTAGTGTCTTATAATACTAATAAAAATATATTTATAAAAAAAATTATACAAATATAAAAATATTTTTAATATTAATAAATGACGTAAAAGATAAATGTGACTTTTAAATACGCTAATTCAAGGAATACTATATTTTTATTACTGCATATTGAATAATGTTAAACAAATACACCATTCGAGGTTTTTTTGCCCGAACACTTAACAATTAACAGTGAATTTGTTCATTTAGCAGGTAGAATATTAAAAAAGATATAATATGTACATATTAATATAATATTATATATTTATTTATTTCTGGCATTTAATCATATTTCCATTTAATCAGATACTAATTTTTTTAAAAAAATATCTAAGAATATGAATTTTTATTTTTTAAAGTAAAAAAAATTGCATTTCTTATTAAAAAATACTCTCTCCGTCCCACGTATTATATCCATGTTGCCGTTTTTGTCCGTTTCACATTCCGTATCACTTTCCTATTTTAAAAAATGATTACACACTTTAATCTCATTTTAAATTTTTTAATTTATTTTTTTAAAATTTTAATTAAACTAATTAGTTATCTTAGTCTTAATTTATAATTATGTATATTATATTATAATTATTTTCACTAATACTTTCCTAATTATATATTAATGACACCCCTCTTAAAAATACTGTATCTACAGTGTAACAGACACGATATGTGAGACGGATGGAGTAATAATAATAAATTTAAATGACAGTAGAAAAAGAAAGTAAAAATAGACCACGGATACTATTTTGTTCACTTATAATACTTATAAAAAAAATCAATAATTAAATATAAAATATTATTTTTTATATATCTATATAAACTTTTATAATACTCCTTAAATAAAAAATACTTACGGATGTATTTGTGTAGGGGTTTTAGGGAAATTTGAATTAGAGTTTGGTTTTTATCTGAATTTTGAGATGGGTTTGAATTTATATGTTTGTTTGTGTTTAGATTTGGGTTGGATTCAAAGAATTTTGATATGCATTGATTTGATGCTAATAAATATAATAATATAAATGTGTATTAATTTTTATAATTTGATTATGAAATTACATTATATTTACATATATATTTCTAAATTTTTATTAATTTATATTGTAAAAAATTTTATTCTCTACAAAATAATATATATTATATTGTATATATTTTATTAAATTATAATTATTATAAATTTTTTTATATTTATAATTTTATTTTATTTTTTTTTAAAAAAAAACACAGTCAGATTACTGTGCAAACACCTCCAAATTGGGCGGACTATGCAATAGATTCAATTCAACATTCACTTTATTTCAACAAATAATTATTATATTTTTTTATCCCAAAAAAAAAAGCAAATATTATTATTATTATTATTATTAGTGTTACCACTTGACAGGAACAGGTTTCCTAACGAATGAATGAAATGCCAAAAAGGAGTTGGTTCTCTTTCCGCTGCCAATATTTCAAATAATATAAATTTATATATATATTCTGTTAATCCGATGTACGGTTATTTTGTATGGTACGATTTAATGGTCTGTTTTTTTCAATGATTTTCTTTTTAAATTCATATGTTTAAAATAAATATATATTTTTTTAATAAAAACTATATTAAATGTTATTTAAATATAAAGTTCAAATTAATTTTTTTTTCCAATTCACTTTAAAAACTACACTCTAATGCTGGATATATTTTTTTTAGTTAAAAAATATATTCTTAATTAGAGCCAGGAAAAACTAATACAATTATTTGATATACTCCCTCCATCCAACTAGCTATTTTGGGATGTCCAATTATAAAGTAAATATTTCATTAAATACCTTACTTTTTTTCACAAATACCCTTACTTTACATCACATTATTACTTTTACACCAAAAAGCAAGGGCAAAAATATCATTACATTATTTTTAACTACTCATTATAATTAAAATACTATTATTTCTTAAACATCGCTTCAAAAATAATTGTATACTTTTTTTTTTTGTGGACGGAGGAAGTATAATAATTGGATTTGAATAAAAGAAAAATAATTAAAAAAATTATTACTTTATAAAGGAATATCTAATATTATATATATAGATAAGACAAATTATTTCAATTTATCATTTGTTATTTCTGACAGTGGATGGAAAGAACTGAGCGTTCATTATCATTCACCATTTGCACTGCCTGTAATATATTTGTACTATTTAGGTGCATTTATTTGGTGAGATAAGATTATATACATATATTATTTTAATAAATTATATAGTATATTCAATAAATTATTGTGTAAGATTATAATTTTTTTTTTTTAAAAAAAATACTCTTAATTATATAATAAAACTAGTACTAAGTTAATATTAAAAGAAAATGTTTAATTTTATTTAATTATTACCTAAAAGAGGAGAAATAATCTCTAATTGTGCTACTATTATGCCAGACTATAATAGTAAATAGTAAATATGTCATTAAGGTGAATAGAATAATATTGTTTACCATCATCATATAAACACACACTTTTTGGTATTTCTTATAATATGACAATAAAAGATATTTTTATATCTTATGCCAAAACTTGAATATGAAAATTTTATTTTATTTTATTTTATCAACACCATCTTTTCTTTGTAAATCGTGAAAGTAAGATGTTCAATAACATGCCTTGAAGATTGAGGGCTATGCTCATAACTTGTAAGAATGGATTTAACTTTTGCTTGCATCCATAAAAATAGGATTGATTGAAGGTTACTACTGAATCTAAACGTTATGGTAACGAGCCGACATCCAAATGAACTCTCAACGAATAACCCAAAACACAACAATCAAATTTTAAGAAAATACCCGAAAATGTAAATTATTATGGAGCAACATGAAAAATATTGGGGTACGATTGAAAAATTAGAAAAAGTAACAATACCTTATAAGCTTACATATAACTCTATTTGTATGCTGTCTTTTGGAGAAAGTTTCAAAAAATAAATCTGTGCGAGTTCGGCTTAAAGCGGACAATACTATACTAGTATGAGTTGACTCAATTCTAATAACTAGTAGTTCGGTTTGAAAGAGTTAGTTGGTGAATTAGACTGGACTGGACAACATTGGGTGTTGGTGGTGGGAAGCTCTCTGTGATACTTTCGGAGTTGGGCCGATGCTAGGTCAATCTCATGTATGGATAAGCCGGTGCTAAGTCATTTGAAGTTGAATAAAGATTAAGTTGATTGAATAAATTACTCATGTTAACAATGTGCCCATTAATTTTCAAGAGTTTTACTTAAAGAAATTTAGACTTAAGCGTGTTTGTTCTGAGTAATTTGAGAATATGTGACCCCTTAGAAAGTCTTCCAGAGGGCACTTGAGTGAGGACAAAAGTACGCTAGAAGGACTCGTAGCGACCTGTGAGACCAGTTTAATCCCGGCACGCTCGGTCAGCTTGACTTATGGGTCGGGGTGTTACAATTGGTATTAGAGTCGAACTGAGATAACTCACAGTCGTTGACCTGACTTTTAAGAGACGAGACAATCAATTGACGAATCCTTGTGGTGCAACATAGATGTTGCATTCTAAAGTGGCGAAAATGTGATACCCCAGAATTGGGCCAGTGCTAGGCCATCTGAGTTTGAATATAGATTAAATTGATTGAATAAACTACTTATGTCAACAATGTGGATATTCTTTTTTTGGAACTCTACTGAAAGACCTCTAAAGTTAACCGTGTTTGCTTTAATGTATTTTGAGGATGAGTGACACTTTGGGAAGTCTTCTCGTGTGCGCATGTGATACCTCCGGAGTTGGGCCGTTATTTGGCCAACTCCCATGTTTGGATGAGCCGATATTTAAGACCATTCGAAGTTGATTAGAGGTTAAATGAATTGAATAGACTACTCATGTCAATAATAATGAGCACATTCCTTCTCGAAAACCCTACTAAAAAACTCTAGAGTTGAACGTAATTGTTCAAGAGTAATTTGAGGATGGGTGACCTATTGGAAAGTCTCTAAGGGTGCACATAAGTGAGGACATAAGTTTATTGGAAGAAATCATATTGACATGTGAGGCCAGTCTACGATCCCGGTGTGAATGAGGACAAAAGCGCACTAAAAGACTCATGGGGCCAGTCTGATCCCGATACATCCGGTCAGCGTGGTTTACAAGCCGGGGTGTCACACCCTCGTAATTGGAATCTGCAATAGTGTCTTGTGTTTTATTTATTGTATAAAATCCTCTTATATTATTTTGAAGTAAGCTGAAAACACAATCCGCATCCAAAATATGCACCTAATTATGCAAGTGTTATGAAAATAAATTGGATATAATGTTTTAAAAACTATTCTTTGAATAAACTAAATAAATAAAAAGTAGATTAATCCTTCATTTCACAACTTATAAAATTTAAGTTATGACTCGTCTTTGTTTTACGAATAGTGAAAATGAAGGATGATTCAAGCTTTTCTATATTTATTCTTTGAAGAATAATATTTAAGATATTTTATCCAATTTAGTTGCATAATGTGTATAATTAGACACATATTTACAAACAACATCATCATTAGCATAAATATGATAGTTTGTACTTACTTTAATATAACATAAATGATTTCACGTTAAAAAATAAAATATAAAGAATATTCTCTAAACATTTTTAATCTAAAAAATTGAGATGATTTAGATTCTCATATGATACATTATTTAGCAATAAAGAGTCTTCAGGGATATTTGTCGAAAATTTTCAATTTCTTTTTACACTAGAGTTTTACCAAATAGAAAAAAATGTGATTGATCAGATTTACTTGTATATTCGAAAAAACTTGACAAAATTTTTTATTTTTGTTTTAGAGGTTTTAAGTAATAGTGTGGGAAACGACAATTAACAAATGAAGATTTTAATGATTAGACACACATTTTTGTTAGAATTAAAGAGTATAAAAGTGGTATTGAACATGTTCTAAATATGACTATTTAGTATTATTTGGGTCAAAGGTTTTAAAAAAGCATACTATTGACAAAGTGACTCAAATGCATTCTAAGAAGGAAACGTAGCATTGCAAAAGTATTTAGCCAAGAATGATTCATGTTGTAAAATTTCTTGGAAAACATAATCCAACATTTTGTGGTACTAATGAAAAATTACGTCATAATAGCAATGAAATTTTTTTTGGATTAATCGAAATGATATATGAATTTGATCCTATTACAAAAGAACATGTTTGTTGTATTATCAGTGATGAGAATCATGTTCATTACATTGATTACAATATTCAAATTGAACTTATTCTTTTACTTAGATATGCAAATCTGAAATTGTTAAAAATATAAATATGCTAAGTATTTTTTTATTACACTTTACTGTACTATTGATATTAGCCGCCGAGAACATGTCTTTAATTTTAAGAAATATGGATATTTTCTCTAATAATTGTGCTATATTTAATAATCATTTTTAGAATTTTCAAATATTTGGCACAATTGAATAATGATATATATATATATATATTTTTTTTTATAGAGCACAATATATACTTTATAAAGCACTTTTATAATGCACCAAACATAATTTTCTACAACAGCAGTTTAAAAGACAAACATATATGCATTAAAGATTGGTGCACATTGGATATTTACTACTGTGATTTTGGAGAAAATCAGTACGGCGTTAGTAACTTAATCGAAGCCGTCTGGAACAATTGACGAGTTTGATTAGTGATGTAGTATTTTAAGTATAGAGATTTAATAAGTTAATAATGATTGATTATGATATTAGTTTTATGTGAATTGTTGTTAGTATTTTTAAAATAAGAATTAATATATATAATTAAAAATATCTAAAATATTTGTTTAAATATTTTGAACACTATATCTAAATATAATGTATGTACTATGAATATTATTTTATAGTGATTTTTTTTCATTTTTATATATAATACAAATAAATAAATAATTATTTATAACTAATATAAACTAGTTTTATAAGAAAAAATAGAGAATTTTAAATGTAGATAAAAGTATTTGTTTAATGAGAAAAAAAAAGTAGAAATAATTTTTTTTTTTGAGTGATCTTAGGACGTAAAAGATTAGAAATTTAATTAAATTTATTTATATTTGTTATGTATATTTTAAATTGATGAATTTACTAAAATAAAAAATAATCAATTCTTATAGAACGGATTAAAATAATAATAAAAAAAAATGTATCAATTATTACGATGATGGAATACAATTATAGAGATTTAGTGCATTATAAGGAAAAATAAATTTTAAGCAAAATATTTCATACATCGATTAAGATACAAATATTACAGATAAAATTTAAACTTTATTATTTCTATAGGTCTACAGCAGCTAATGGGCCCAAATTAATCAAAGTCCAACAATTTATAGTACATATATTTGTCTTGTGTATATGTCTTTTTTTCTTTTTTTCAATTGTTATTAGTTGTAGTAGTAAAGTATTCAATATCCATTTAATTAAATTATAACATTAACAACTATTCCAAAAATCTAAAATGCATTTAAAACAAACTTAGCATACCTCCCCTTTCTTTGTGGTTTTAAGAAAGTTAATAAAAATAGTATAATATACTTATGTAATATTTTATATAAAAAAAAATATATATATAATTTTATTAAAAAACATACATATTGAATATTATTTAACACAACATTAAAACACATACTTGTGTTTGGCATCGGGTCGTCAGCTCTATTTTCTCATATACATATACATATACATATATATATTATATATATATTTATATATCATATATACATATAAGTATTATATATAAATATCACTTTGAGAGAGGAGCTGGAAAAAATGAGGCTGACGATCTGATGCCCAAAAAATGATCTGGTGGTGTGAAAAGTGATTTATAAATTCAAACTCGGATGCCTTCAGGTGGCTACGGTTCCCACGTTATAAAAAAATAATAAAATTATATAATTTTATTTAAAAAAATATATATCATTTCTATTTATTGTTATTATTATTATTATTATATATTTTTGAAATCAAGAATATTTTCAACGGAACAATTGGAATAATTATAAAAGTTGCATAAAGTTCCAACCCACAAGCTTTCAAATCTCCAACTAAATATTGTACCCACAAACAAACACTTCCATATAGTCAGTCCTGCATTTATGATCAAAACCAACCAAAAGCCCTTCTTCTTCATCATCTTCTTCTTCGATTCAGACAACATTATTAAATCGATCGACCCCATCGTAGTCTGTGTTTTTAATTTCCACTATACAGTATTTTCCTCATTCAGTCTCTGTAATTTAATTTCCCAAAACAATGAATGAAAACTCAATTCCATCACTCACACCATTAAATGCCTCATTTTATTTATTACATTCACCCATCAACATATTTGGTCCCTCTATTGATTTCCATCTTACATACATTGCAATATACCTACCATGCTTTCTTTCCTTACCTTTTCAAACATTTTTTTTTCACACTATTAATTTTATATTTCTCTATTTGAAGTGGGTTTTCGATATTTGGAAAAACCCGAAAAGAAATAGGCACATTCTTGAATTCCAAGAACTTGGATGTGTAAGCATTTCGACAGGTTGTATCTCACGTAACTCATAAGTGGTCAGCAATAAAGATGTACCAACAACCGTCCAGGAATAGTCACTATCTTCAGACAAAGCCAAAAAAACCAATCCTTTCTAGTATTTTAATTTCATCTTTTGTGTGTTGTTATGAGTGAGGTAATAAATTCAATACACTAGTTTCCAGCTAGACTTTGGATCGAGATTTTTAAGAGGTCACAGAGATATGCAGAGTTGGGGACCATGGCTATGATATCTAAGTACCATATTTTTGGCCCTATTTCATTCCCACCCTCAACAATAATTCAACCTCCTATCTTTCTTCCCCACAACTTTCATTACATCCAATCTCATGTTATCCTAACATCATACCAAGTTTCCGTAAAACCCGACTATTTTTAAGCTACTAGAGTCACATTACAAATTACATGTCGAAACAATGTAACCTAAAGTTTCTTTCTCAAAACAGACCTACTTATCGATTATAATCATGTTAGCTATCTTAAACCGGAATTTCCAATGCCGTCAAGAAACTACATTAAAGGCCGCAGATAAATAAATTAACCGACTCGGGGTTTCCTAATTAAAGAAAGGGATACTCTACTTGGGGGATAAAGATTCGATCTCGATCTTGCAAGAAACGCAAGCTTCGATTTGAACTTACATTAATTAATGAATATGTATAAATCTCACCCTTTGGTGTCGTATTTGTCCAGAGAAAACGACGTCTATTCCAAATGCTCCCGGACGCCGAGCAACGATGGAGATGTAAAGGATGTGTCACTTTAACAATTCCTTTCACAGAATTTAAGTTGTGAATAAGAAGGCAGCAGCAGATCAGGCAATTCTAGCAATCAATATATATATATATATGTATGTATGTATATATATGTATGTATAAGTTGCTAACTAAGTATCTTTTCTACCTCACATGAATAATTGACCATTTCCTTACAAAGGAAACAACCTAATTGTTCCTCCATTTTCAATTTTGAATTAAAAGAGCAAGAAACAGATCAAATCATTGTCAGCACAGCTATGGCATGTTTCGAATAAACAAGACCACATGGCCCTCATCCAGGTTGTAATAATACTCGATTGTTATTATTATTTTTTATTTATTTGTAACAAAAAGGAAAGAGAAGTGATGGGAAACTTAATAATATAAAGAGATTATTCTGAAAACACTCAATCATGAGGTGGGAATTTATCAAACATCAGCAACACAGATATAGTAGCAGGATGATGTCTGGAAACTGGAAATGGAAAATGGCTGCAAACAAAGTTGAGAGCTCTATTTGCTCGTTTAAACAGTCGGACTGGACTTAAATCCAAAGCTGGAAATTGCAATAAACAATTAACATAGAATGAACAGCTAGCCGGATCAATGAGAAAACCTGAAATTAAGATCTCAGGGTTCTTGGCCACTTGGCTGCTGCCATTGTTGAGAAAAAACTCACTCAGACTCGATCTTCCCTTGCTTCTTCGAACTCCATGATCGAATGACGTCAGCAGAAATTGATGATGACTCCTGACTAAAAATTTAAGTTTAAAAAGGGGATAAGTAATGGCGAGATTGGGGAAGGGATTGACAAGTGTTGAATTTGATCACCTGGTAATGGCGGAAGAGGGGATGTTTGAGTCTGGGAGGTGAATTCTCAACGACGAGAGTCGGAGGAAGCAGAGGATGGCTTGTCGGAATAGCCATCGTGATCCTCTTCTTCACCCTGAATTCGTGCAGGAATATGAAACCCTGAGAAGCCACCGAAACCGGAGGCGAATCCAATGCCGGACATTGAAGGTGGATAGATCGGCACAACGGCTGGATGGTGGAGATGGTGGTGGTTGTGATTCTGCTGCTGCTGCTGGCCGTGGTCGGCCATGGCGGCCATGGACGGGTCCATCCAAGCACGAACTGAAGGTGTGTTACTGGACTGAAGGGGTCCCCTCTGAGAAGAAGAAAAAAACTGGTTGTGGCTAAGGAGCTGCTGCAATGGCGCTGGCGTCGAGTTGAATAAGTATCCACTGGCTGCTCCGCCACTCCCACTTGCTGAATCTCCTCCGCCGCCGCCGCCGCCGCCGGCGGCATTCCAAGCTGCAAGCCTCTGAAAGCGGCTGAGTTGATCGGCTGTTTGTTGGTGGTGGTGGTGGTGGTGGTCCTGCCAGGCTGAAGCTCCGTCGAAGCCTAGCGGAGTTCCGGTGAATAGAACGTGTGTTTGTTCGCCGGCGTGAGTGTGATTTTGGTTAGGGTTATGGTGGTGAGGGTGAGGATGGAGCATTATGGGATCTTGCAGGGAGTGCAATGAGAGCCGCAAATCTTGGCTTTGGCTGTTGCTGTTGTTTCTCGACAGTAAATCGGGGGTTGGGAAGTTGTCGAATTGCATAGATGAGGAACTGGCTTCTGCAGAAGCGCCCATGGGGAAGAAGGACTTGATGGTGTCAGCAATGGCGTCTGAGTCTAAAGCAGGGGGGAGGAAGCTCGAATTCTGAGTGCTGCTATGGTGCTCGTTGGCGAGGATTGTCGCCACTGCCGGCCGCTTGCTCGAATGGATGGAGATTTCAGGGTTCACCATATCGGAATTCATCTGCTGTTGTTGATGTTGCTCGTCTTCGTCTTCTTCGTCGAGTTTTCTCTGCAATTCTTCTCCTTTTCCGATACCGCCGCCGCCGACGGAGCAGTTGGTGGGATGCCATGCGGGGAGCTCGGCGAGCTCGTCAATGGCGGCCTTAGCCTTCTTGATTAGCCAATCGACGGCCTTGCTGGGGCGGTCGTAGCCAAGGCGGTCCTGGACGTCGTAGAATTGGATGGCGGTGTGGGCGGCGAGGCGGACGCGGCGGTCTCTGGGTCCTTTGGCGGTGCAGACTTTACTGTGGCGGTCTTTCCGGCCGGTGGACCTCACAATGTGGCCGCCCTGCACCTCGACAATCTCGCCGCCGCCGGCGGAGGCACTACTGGTCCTCATCAGCCCTAACCGTGACGATGTTGGTCGCTGATGATGATGGCTGCTCTCTCCCATCCTATCCCCCAAGGCCACTCTCGCATGTTCGGCGGCCGGCGAGCTTGAAGACGGCAGGTAGGACCGCTTCCTCGGCGGCGCTAGTCCCTGCTGGTGGTGGTGATTCTCTGCGTTCAAGGCTCCGTAAAGAAGGTGGGTTTGGTGGAAATCGCCATGGGAGGAGGAGGAAGCAACTAGTGGTCCTCCAAGAAAGTGACGCTGCTCATCATCGTCTTCTCCTTCACCCTCAGCCTCGTCTCCTACATGCCTCCTTGAGCTCGATGTAATAATAGCCTGACTCTGGTTCTGGTTCTGGTTCTGGTTTTGATTAGGGATTTGGGTTTGAGGATGAAGAAGATGAGGTTGAGGTTGAGGAGGAGGAGGAGGAAGAGGGAGGTTTCTCAAAGGATCCAGACTCAAACACTTGTTGTCTTCTTCTTCTCTCTTCTAGACAATCTTGCAATAATTATAATCAAAATCAAAGTTCCTATTCCAAACCCAAACCCAAATCTGTCATTCAACCTTCCTATTTCCATCACTGCACTGCAACTCTAACCCATCATTACACACACCTTCTTCAACAACAAATTCAATCAACCCTAAAACCCCTTTGGTATAATCAATTCCCTATCCAAACACCTCAAAACAAAAAGCAAAGAAATCAAGAAAGGAAGAAAGAAATCGTCTCCCTAGCTGCTACTGCGTATGGCAGTTTTTGGGTCAGAAAGGAGATTAAAGATCCCTGTCCTGCCCTGCCCTGCCTTGCCCGACCTGACCTGCACTGAGTGATATCACCACTGCTCTCTGCTCTATTTTTTTTTTTTTTTTGGTGCTGCTGGTTCACCAGCAGTAAGTACTGCTGCGGTAACCTAAACAAACACTACAAAACAAATACAAAAATCCCACCTCCTCTTTCTTTTTCTTTCATTAGCAATCTAAACTAAACTTGCTGCTGCTCTCTCCAAGATTTCTTTTTTTTTTTTTTTCTTCTTCAAATTTAGGCTATTTCTCAGAGGCCCATGTGTTGTAAATTATATATATATATGTGTATATATAAATTGAATAAATTAAGAAGATTGTGTTGTGTTGTGGGAGTGATTGATGTATGGATGAATGGAAGGGAAGGGAAGAGATAGATCCTCCAAAAAAATGCCACCCCCTTGCTGAAAGTGACCTCTGTTACAGCTTTTGTGGTTTTTCTGGCATCCCTTTTTATTAATTTATTGTATAGAAATTATTTATTTATTTTCAAGATTTCTTTCTCTCTCTTTATTATTGCTTCACTCAAATTTCCCTCTCCAAAACCCACTTTTTTTTTGTTTTGGGCATTGGGTTAAATGAATGAAAATGGAATGGCATCAACCCCTTTACTTTTATTGTTGTTACTGTTTTGCTTATTTTTGTCTCCTTTGCTCTCTGTAAATGTTACCATACATTTTTGCTGACGTTTACTTTTCATAATAAGGCATTTATTAAAAAAATAAAATTAATATTATATAAAATATTTTTATTTAGGTTATATACCATATTAAATATTTTCACTGCCTAATAGTAAAAGTTTTGAGAAAATTCTATAGAAGAACGTACCCTTATTGATTTTTCTTAATGCTCCCGCAATAGAAAAAGTATATAGCATTATTTAGTTTTGATTTGAAATTTTCATTTTAATATAAATAGTGATATTTTAATTTGATATTAACAACCATGCAAATATTGATTATTTTGATTTCAAATAGAAATCAAACACAATATTTATTTTTATATCATATCTCTATGTTCCAGAGCCATGATCTATTTGTTTCGAACACAGTTATTTATTTATAATTAATTTAAATTAATTTTATAAAAAAATTAAGAGGTTTTAAATATGGATAAAAATATGTGTTTACCAAAGATAATAAAAATAAAGAGTTCCAAGTAGATTCTACGTATGAGAGATTAAAAATTTAATTAAATTTATCAAATACATTTAAAATAAATAAATTTATTAAAAATTAATAAATATTATATGTTATGAACAAACAAAAAATAAAAATGACTCACATATGGTAGGATGAAATGAGTATAATTTTTTTATTTATAGAAATTTTGTTTGCAATTTCAACTATTTGCTTTCACTGTTTTAAAAAATATTACTAGTGACTTGTAAATAATACTCCTCTGTTCCAACTATATTTAAGATAATAATATTTAATTAGTTAATAATAATTAGTTATAATATTATTATATTATTTTTTTTTATAATTAATAATATTTATATTTTTAAAGTAAATTTATTATATATAATTGTAAAAATTAAAATATATGTTTAAATATTTAAAAATTACATAGAAATTAATAAATATATGCAATATAGATATCATTTTGTGTAGAGAATAAAATAATTTATAATACAAGTAAATAAGAAAATATTTTTGTTTATTTATAATTAACATAAATCAATTTTATAAAAGATGTGTAGTTTTAGATATAGATAAAAATATTTATTTTTTGAAGAGAGAGGTAGAAATAAAGGGATTTTGAGTATTTACGATGTTCTATGTTATGTAGTTAATTAAATTGATTTATATTTGTTAAATATATTTTGATTTAATAATTTTTACCAAAAATAGAAAGATATCAATTGTTACTGGACACAAAAAATGGAAATAGTGTTGTGATAGGATGGAAAGAGTATTTTTTATATAACAATCAAAAATAAACTATTACTTATAGAAATTTATGACTCATTCCATCCTAACAATAATATGGTAGGATGGAATAGTAATAGTCACATGAATATTTTAAAACTGATATCACAATAAAAAAAAATATATATATATATATATGCAATATGAATATCATTTTGTAGATAATAAATTTCATATAATGTAAATTAGTAAAAAAATAGATTAATTTATTTAATTAATATAAACTAATTTTATAAAAGATGTGGAGTTTTAAAGGTAGATAAAAAAATATTTGTAGTTTTAAGAGCGATAAAAATAAAAGTGTTTTGAGTAAATCATACGTGATATGATATTATATGTTACGTGAATTAAATTTATTTATATTTATTAAGTATATTTTGATATATTAAATTTTATCCAAAATAGAAAAATGTCAATTGTCTTATAGTAAGACAAACAAAAATAAAAAAATGTGTCAATTAAAATTAGGCGAATGATGTTACGTTAAAAATTATTTTTATGTTTATAACATGAAATATTTATTTATATAATAAAAAACAATCGTTTCAATTTAATTTTTTTTATTTATTTATTTTCAGAGTGCTACGAGTTTTTGGTTGTGGACTTATGCTTTGAAATTAAATATTAATTTAATTTAAACTTAAATAATATTTTAATTTTATATTTTATATATAAAAAAATAATATATATGTCCATCGTATTTATGCCACTTTTTGATAGTGGATGGAGATCATTTTTATAAAAATCGTTGTTTTCCATTTAAAATAAAAAAAATATACTATTCATATTTTATCTTAGTTAGCATATTAATATTTAAATTGATTTTCAATTAAATATACAAAACAACCAAATTTTTTTGTTAAATACTACAAAAATACAAAGAATCACGGCCACCTTTTCATACAAAAGACGTGTTGTTAATTGTTATGTCAATTTTCAATTAGATTTCCAACAAATAAAAGTTTGTTTGTTTGTTTATTTGTTTTTTTTTTTATTTTATTTGTATTTTTATAATTTTTTATTTTCTAAAAAATACTATTTATATTAAATGCGTGTGTATATGGTTTTGATTTGAAACTGATTTTTTTTAATTTAAATTTATTTTAATATAATATTATATTATAAAACAAGAGTTTATTTTTATCTAAGGTCGTGTTGATTGAATAGTATTTTTTTTTTTATTTGAATTAAAAACAAATAAACTAAACATATCTTATTAAATTATATTCTTTCGATTCTAATATTTTTATTTATTTTTTGTACGTGGACGAATAATGTTAGTGTAACAAATTATTTTTATTTTTAGATATTAATGTATAATGAAGTGAAAGCAAAATAGTAAATATATGTAATAAAATATATTAACACTTTATAGTAGGGTCCACAATTACAAATTTGAATTTTAATGGATAAAAATATACAAATATTAGAAGGGGCAGATAAAATATATTTTAAAATGTTCAAAAATGTTTTATATTTATTTTTAATAAAATACATTTTCATCATAATTAAAATAAAAATAAAATAATATCTTATTGTCAAGTGACCCAACATTCAGTTTAACTTTCCAGTTTGCAACTAAACATGTATTTACATATTTCCGACAATGTAAAACTTACATATGACTCTGTTTATATAGACAAATTTTTAATAGTTTTGATATAGTATTTTTTTTAAAAAAAAAACTATTAAATTAAATATAGTTATAAAATATTATATCAAATATCTATTTTTTATTATTTAAAAAAATTAAAATTTTGAAACTTAAAAAATCTGTACTCGTACTTTCGGGTAGTGGCTGCGGTTCCCACGTCATCTAAATGGTATAATGATTTGAGGATAAAGTCGTAAACTACAATATGTGTTCATTTTGTGTTAGTTTATAATTATCTTCACTGATTAAAAAAAAAAAAGTATTTTAAATTGAGAATAATGAACTAATATTTATGAGAATTGTGCCATTTAAAAGAAATTGGATGAACAATCCTATTATTGTATTTAAAAATTATATAATAAATAGTGTAAATTAGTAAATTATTATTAATAAAATTATGATATTATTATATTATTTTTTATATAAATAATGTTGTTGGTATTTTAAATATTTTTAGCATTATATTTTAATAAAATATATACAATATGAATATCATTTTGTAAAAAATAAAATTTTATATAATACAAGTAAATAAACAAAATGAAATGATTTATTCATTTATAACTAACTTAAAATTAATATATAGATAAATATATTTGTTTATACATGACATAAATAGAAATAAAAGGGTTTTAATTAGATCCTACGTGGAAGATGTTAGAATTTAATTTAATCGATTTATATTTGTTAAATATGTTGAAAATGAATAAATTTATTAAAAATAAAAAATATCACCTTTTATGGACGAACAAAAAAAAAAAGATCATTTGTGGAGGGATTATATAAATTTATTCTTCTATCATTTTAAATATAAATCAATATTATTCATTATAATAAAAACTAACAAAATATTATATCAAAGTTATATTTAAACAAAAATTCAATTTCAAACAACAACCAAGAAATTCAAGATAATCTAATAATCTAATACTCTTTCCGTCCACAAACTAACGTCCTACTTTTCTATTTGGAATATCCAATAATTATTGTCCTTTTTTTATTTTTATACACAAAATTTATTCTTTTACCCTTACTTTATTTACTTTTTTATTTTCTATACACAAGATTAAGGACAAATTTATTATTTTATAACAAAAATCCTAATGGCCTAAAAATGCATGTAAATATCAAATAAGACATTAGAAAATGGACGGAGAAAGAGTAATTTTTGAAGGCCTAATAAGTGGGTCGGAGCCATTCCAATATTAAATCTCGTAATCGAACATTGTCTTGCATCATCATGTATTGTCTTTTTTCTGTTGTCTTCTTTTCTTTTGGAAATTAAAACATTTCATATCCATCGTTGTCCTATTTCCAAACTTGTTCTTCTACACTTTGATTGGAGATTTGTTGTATAATGTAAATAAATTAAAAAATGTCCTATAATGTTTTCCCTCTTGATGCTTACATAAATTATTTGTGTCTTTTTTTTTTTTTTTATTAGGATGTTGACACGGTCAATTTTTTATTTTTTATTTTTTATCGATTAGGATGTTGACACGGTCAAATTAATATCGTATTGGTTTGATTTCGTTAGTATAGTAATACAAAACAATCAATATTTTATTACAGACAAATAACATGTGATCAAATTAGTATATTAATTTGAAATAATTAATATTTTATTACAAGACAGATGATATATTTTGCGTTATATAGAAACAAGCGTTGTTGCGTAAGTTATATATTGTGTTGAAATCTATATTTAATGTGCGACGTGAAATTATATAACGTACTATGTTATATACTAGATTAACATTTGTTGTGTGT